ATTACAACGCCAATTGTACAGTATTATATGCACTCAAATAGCATAGAGCCACTTGAGATGAAATATCTGTTTCCAATTACGACGAATACAATTGAAATAATCCAGGAATACGAGAAACGTTGCTTTGTTATGCATCAACATTTGCGCACGGATCGACGATGCTATTTTAAATTGCGCAATTATGTGCAATCTTTTAAGCTCGATCGAGAATCTTTTATTCGTCATATGATATTGTATTGCTTTAAGATTGAGAACGAGATATATGGAGTTACTTTAACATTCATCTTCTTTCGCTATTATGGTTGGGCCAACGAGATGATAGCTTATGAGAACATAATGCAAATCAGTGCCGAGGCGTTGCAAATTGCCTTGATGAACATAGAATCGTTTTCCAAAAATACATTTATTATGTTATTACATTCGATCATAGACTTCTCCAACACAGTAGAAAATTTTATGCCTGATAACCAAGAAGAAATTCACCGTATCCTGTTGAAGACTTTATCCTCTATAAAAAATGTAATTGGCGAGAAGCGCTATAAACTTATGCATGACTTCTTGCTTAAGTATATTTACGTTGAAAACCAATCTTATCTGACAGAAAGAAAATATAATGAAATCTCCGAATGGATTTATGCACTCATCCATGGATACGTGCCTTGTACAGTATCTCTAATAGACTGGTAAATAACGATGTTTTTTTTCTTTTATGAAATGAACTTAATTTTTAATTACCAAAATCTTTATTGCATATGTGTGTATGTAGATCACGGATATATTTTATTATTGTCTTACTTTTTTAATAATATTTTAGTATTTTACATGTAATTTACTTAACGTTGTTGATTATTTGAAAAAAAAGATACACATTTTAATTATAAAATATATTGTATATGCGAGTAGAATATACATTATACACAAATACACATACATACACACACACATACACACACGCACACACACACACACACACACACACACACACACACACATGTATGTATGTATGTATGTATGTATGTATGTATGTATGTCGTATATACACACATACAGAGAGGGGGAGAGGGATGGAGGAGGAAGAGGGAGAGGGAGAGAGAGAGAGAGAGAGTAATGAAAAATGTACATAAACTTAGTATAAAGATGTATAGAAAAATATAAAATGTTATAGATATCTGTTATATAGAAAATAAAATGTGTGATGTGTATATTTGATATGTTACAGCACTTGTGATAAATGTTCGTATTGCAAACGTCAAAGTTTTTTTAAGAACAAAATCGCAATGATGTATAACGCATATTTGTTCATTTGTGAATGCATCAAGATATCCACAGAATTTCATCATTATTATTATGAGCGATTACTGCGCAATTTATGTCCGGAATAATAAATTAATTTTGATAAAGTATAGAAAAATACTAGACGGGGGATAGTTGTAACGATTTTTAGAAATATTGATATATTGCTTTATTTATGATATATGTTCGTATTTCTTTTAATGCACATGACACAACAACTATTTAGATTTATGATACTATTTGTAAAAGGTGTAATTTTAGGCTATTTGTGAGTAAATATAAAATATAAAAATCCAAATTAGTACATCTTTTGCTCCGATTTGGGGCAAAACGAAACAGATCTAAGAAAAATTGTAATGTTTTAAAAATAAATTATATCTGTTCTAAAACAGAACGAATTCACTGCTTTAAAAACAAATTATCTGTTTTAAAATAGAAATTATCTTCTTACATTACTTTTATTTTTAAAACAGTTTGCTATTAAAAAGCAGTGAATTTTTGGTTTCGATGATTTTATTGAAAATTTTTCGAACGAAAGTTGCATAGCTTGAAGGGGGATACATGATGGAAATATGGATGAGATAATCGACCATATCACTTAAAATGAAACACCCTGAATATATTATTCACTGCTTTACAAATACGCATTCATTGCTTATTCACTCTAAACCAAACCTGTACATTTATTAATAAGAAATACTTACAACGCATCGCACGTGGCCACGTAACATAAAGATATGTAAATATACCTCAGCACGTGTAAATATACCTTGCATCGCAATATTTCGTAGCTACAGATTTCCTAATCTGAATAGTCGTCAACTTAAAATATTTCGGTTCAGGAAAAGTAGAACGATATTTTTTTCTTATCAAATCTTTATTTTTACACGAAAACGCATCGATTTAGTGTATTTTTATCAAAATTTTGAGATGACCGGGCTCTTATTAACATTTATCGTTAATTGTAATGGTGTTAATGATACAATGTACCCTAGCAATGCGGCACTTTTAACTCCAAATCAATGTTGTCAAAATTTATATAAATATATTTGAAACCACTTAAAAATATCAAAAAAGTCATGCACATAGCTTGAGGAAATGTATTTTAGAATTATAATAAAATGAAAATATGATAAAAAGCATTTTATTTGAAAGTTTAAAGCAAAAAAGTATAACATCGTAAATTTACACTTACATGGCTTATCTGAGCCCTATATACTTCTTTATACATGTGGTGCATACGCGATTAATGTCATGAGGCAAATGCTCGATACCGATTATTTCTGTTCTTATAATTATTTTATCTCTTATCATTTAAGAGAAATATGCATTGTTACAACTACCCTCCGTTATAACTGTCCTCTTGCAATCTCCGACCTTATTTTTATGAGATAGACCTTTATTATTTTTTAACAATATTGTAATTAAATTTATCTTTTTTTTATATTGATACATTTAATAAAGTATTTTGTAATGATGCTTTCCTTTCTTTACATGAAATATGTAAGAAACAATTGTGGCCAATAAATAAGAACGGATTGAAATGGATTAAAATAAATTCAGAAGATTTTCAGAAATATGTATTGGCGAATTAAAATGAATACTCTTCAGTGCTCAATCCGTTTTTATTCATTTATATGAATAATTGCATGAAATACATTTCTACTTTTAATCTAAATTCTAAAAATATTAGCTTTTTCTGTGCATTGTGAATACTGTTTAATTCAAAATTCTGAAAAGCAGTTTTTTAATTCAATTGAATCCAGTTAAATCCAATTAAATAAAAAAAAGTGTTCTTATTCAATTGAATTTAATTGGACTTAAAATACACATAAAAATTTTAATTTTAATCCATTATAAAACAAGGACAAATGGATGCTTATTTTAAGCATAAAACGGAATATCCAGCAAACGGGAATGGATTAAAATGGATTGAAATTTTTTTCTATCCGAATTTTAAATAGCGTATACCTTTTTTTGGATTTAATTGGAATCAATTGGATGCAATTGGATTGAAAAACTGCATTTCCTATTCAAAATTTTGAATTGAACAGTATTTACAATGTGTGTGTTGTGCACAGAAAAAACTAATATTATTTTTAGATTGAAAAGCATAGAGATATGCTCCATGCAATTCTTATAAATGAATAAAAATGCATTCAGGATTGAAAAGCATTCATTTTAACATTCGTGAATCGATATTTTTTGAAAATCTGAATCCATTTCAATTCATTTCAATCCATTCTCGTTTGCTGGGTGCACCTCATGTACATACTCTATACTAAGTGTTACATGTATTTTATTAAAAAAATTATTGTATTCAATAAAAAACTTTATTTCTTGTAGAATGAATAATGTGCATATAATACAAAATGTATGTCACAGATATATATAATTTTTAATTCATTATTATTTCTTTTTATTTTAGAAAATATTTATTTTTATTTTTATATTTTTATTAGATTATTTTTATATTTAAGGTAATCACATTTTTTACTCTTAGAAAACAATTTATTTAAGTTTAATAATAATATCATTTATGAAATATTATTAAATATTATTAAATATTATTTAAATATAGAAAATGAATTCTGCAACATTTCATATTTTCAATGTTATTAAAAATAATTCTATTTTTAAAATATAAATTCATCACACACACACGATAAAATTTTGCGAATTTTAAAATTATATTTATTTTGTTCTAATATTCTGCACAAAGAATAAATAAAATTTATTACGAGTTGTCTGATACGTTTAAATTATTACGAATGAGAAAGAGTGAAATTACTTCAACATTCGACTTTACTGTCAATCGCGACTATTAAACTGATTTGACATTAAATGAAATTATAAGTTGCTCTCAAAGTTAGTCAGTATTTTCAAAATAATTAATACAGGTAGACTCTCGAGGCTGTCAATTTTGAATCGAATAAATTCGAATATTCATAATGAAAACTCAAAAAATTGATCTCGTCTTAAAATATTTATAAATAATTTAATCAGCAACGAATTTTAATGACTGATTGTGATGTTCTAATCGTTGATCGCTGTTGTTTGTAAACGAAGCGTGTGTCATAGCCTTGGTCAAAGCAGTAAAAGTTGACGATACTCCGAACAATACAACGACAATGGAGATCAGACTTCTGTGTTTTAATTTTAATCAAATAAATGACATAAGAAATTCAATAATTATTGATTTGTAGACGTCTCTTAGTGATAAGAAATTTCAAAGGAGGTATACAGGAAAAATACAATGTTTATCGATTTGTGAAAATAAATTTTGAATGAAAAAGATTTCTTAAATAGGAAATTCTGGTAAGCTGAAATTTGAATGCATTATTACGACAATCTTATGTTATAAATTTACATTATATTTATTCATCATATTATACATATAAACACTTACTAGTATTATATTATCTATGTCAGCACAATTTTGAAAAACTGCATTTCCTATTCAAAATTTTGAATTGAACAGTATTTACAATGTGTGTGTTGTGCACAGAAAAAACTAATATTATTTTTAGATTGAAAAGCATAGAGATATGCTCCATGCAATCCTTATAAATAAATAAAAATGCATTCAGGATTGAAAAGCATTCATTTTAACATTCGTTTTAACATTTACGTAAACCAAAGTATTTTTATACATCGCTATATATTAATATAAAAAATTTGTTCTAATTTCTTCCAAAGAAAGAAAAAGATTTTAATTAAAATCAGATAATTTTTTATGCTTTTAATTTTACCTTTTGTTTTCTACATAATTATTTTATATTATTTTATAAAAATAAACATTAACAATAATCAATTATCAATTTAATATCAGCAAGAATTAAATTTAATATTGTCGCATATATTTTCATGTATTTTATTTTATTTTTATTATGCATTTCTTAACATTATACATATAATGTTACGCATAATAAAAGTAAAATAAAATACATGAAGATATATGCGACAATATTAAATTTAATTCTTGCTGATATTATACATATATAATATTAATACAATATAAATATAAATATATTTTACATATGATATTGTGTGTATATGTATGTACAAAGTACTATTTATATATTTTATTACACTTAAAATTAGTTAATAAAGTTTTTTTGCTTTTAAATTCATTTTGTAGATTTTTGATCAGTATGGAAAATTATCAGATCATGAAAATCATTTTAACACAGCTGCAACAACAACATGGTCAATTGAAACATTTTTCGTCTCAAAGAAAAGAGATTTCGTATTCTGTTAACGAAGTACCAATATTTATTATGTATTTTTTAAAAAATCGACTTGAGATGCATGATATTAAGCTATTCTTTAAAGACAATACTCACGAAAGCTTTTTGCCAATATTCGCCATATATTATAACTTTTTATTAATAAATACGAATTTTTCCTCACAGTACCTTCTTAAGAAGGATTTGATATTCGGACACATGGTCGGTACATGGCCTACTTTATCACCTTATCTCTTCTTACAGGTGATTTATCAATAACAATCATATATTACAATAAACATTATATATACACACACACACACACACACACACACACACACAATAATAAGATATCAAAAGACATCTCTTTTATTTTATCAATTAAATTCGGTTTTAGAGATACACAAATAATAATGTATTTCTTTGTTTTTCTTGGGCGTTAATTTATCATATATCTAATATTTATATCTAATATATGTATATATATATATATGTATGTGTATAAAAAATAATTAAGTGTAACTATATTAATAGAGATCGTGCAAAAATATTAGATATGTAATGATAATGATATTGTATATATGAAAATATTTTATATACACGCGCTCGCGCTTTATAATCAATTATCAATTTTTTCATATATTTTATTTATATAATATATACAGATAATATGGTATTCGAAGTGTGAAGATTTACTGATTGAATCAATCATGCACATACCATTGGATCTATGCGCGGAGATCTTGAAGATAACAATCAAACACATAAATGACTTGGCAATCCCTCGAGCTAGACGCCTTATTTTTCTTCTAATCTATAAAATATACAATAAATTCTTATGGTTACATTTAGGCACCTTGTCAGAACAAAATGTGACGAAATGCGTTCACCAAATAATAATGTATTTTGAAATATTGTTAGATTTACTTGTAAGCCCAAAGTTTGTTAGTTCTTGTTTATCAATCGAGCAGAAGCACTTACAACATGGTATTTTAGTGAAAAATATACTTCACTATATCAAAAAGTGCATGTATAGCAAAATAAGAAGTTACTCGGAAAATCATAATCTGAAACTATTTACACTTACATATGGCAACAATGATGATGAACATATGAATTATTATCACATACTTCCAATCAATGCGATAAAGTGCATTATAATAAGATTAGATCAGATATTGGCCACTCTACTCCTGAATCAAATCAAGGACGTTGACTCTTTCGAGTATATAATCTGGAGAAACATTGTTGATGATGAGAACACTATGATTTCATTACATCGTGCTATCATTATGGAATGTCACTGTCTTAGAGAATTTATAAAACAGAATGATTTTTTGATGAAAAATGAACAATTATTTCTTTGCCTGAAACAACTTATAGGGCCAATAAAATCCGAGGAATCTATTTTAACTCTTCAAGAACTCTGCCATGACATCAATAAAGGCAAGTTGCATGGTATAAAGGAACTGATTAAACGTTATAAAGAGTGGGACTTGTACACATTAGATTTTATCAGACAGAAAATAAAATGTTTAAGTCTTAATGATTTCAATGTTATACTCGAATATCTCAATTATAAACTCACACATCTGCATACTAAAAAAGAAAAGTACCAAGTATACGTATCAGTGCTGAAAATATTGATACATCTAAAAGAAGACGATTTACATATCATCATATTAGAATACATGGGGCGACATTTGGACGATAATTGTTTAGAATATCTATATAATGAAAAGTCCTTTGACACATTCTTAAGGCAAAATTTACTTATTGAAGAATTCAATAATTCCCGATCAATAATGAATGCTATTTCCCAGAGATGTCGTGCCTTCTTGATCTTTATTTTATTAAATCCAAGGGATGTGTTAAACAAGTTAATACTCTATGAGATAAATATTGAACCATCCAATAGTATTTTATTCCAAGGCGACTTTTTCGCATTTTTTATACAAAACTATTACTGCTTAATACAGGAGAAATATACCGTGCTGATGTACATTCTGAAAAATCTAATTTTACAGCAACACATGGCATTGCAAATAAATTTTTGGAGATTTATTAATAAAACATTGGAGTATCAGGTGATAAACAATGTTGTAAATGAAATAAGTATTATGTGTATAAATTTTATTATTATGATTATAATTTTATTATTAAATTCATATTATATCAAGTCAGATTACGTCATCCGATGTTTAGACACATATTTCTATAATTTTATTATTTTTTTAATTGTAATAAAATTTATAAAATTTGTAGTAATTTTTATTCATTTTTTTTTATTAGAATGGAGATTACTTAAGGATATTTGATAGACGTATATAGCACATTTACATTAATATTTATACTTTAAACAAGCTATCTACATATAAAAGTAGTATTTCTAAGATTCTGTTCTTAATGAACGACACATTTTTCTAATTTATTTATTTATTCCATTTATTATAATTTTTATTATTATAAACTAAAAATAATAAAAATTTTTAATTTTTTGTATAAGTACTTTGAGTATTCAAAAAAACTTATGCAAAGTTTCATTGCTATTCACATTGCTATTAGTTACAAATATTTAGAACGAATAAATATTTTGTTTATTTATTGAACTAATTTCTGCATCGCAATAGCACTTCACATAAATAATCTTGAATACATAAAGTACTTATATTAAAAAATTGTGATTTTGTCATTTATTTTATAATACATTTCCAAACATTTTTATTACAGCATAAATTAAGAAAATAATATTATATTCTTACTGAAATAACTTATGATCTAGATGATAAAACCATCATAAAAAAAATTGGTTGTCTTACTTTTAAATGCGATTTAAAATAATCTATAATGTTTTCATAATTTTTTTATTATTTGTTTTGTGTAAAATATCTATCGAACATCTTTAATAGATCATTGGTATCTTTAAGAAAATGAATCTTATGAAAATTGATCAAACAAATGTATTGCAGTATTAAAAAGTAGAAAATATTTTTGCATACATTGTATTTTTCTACTAAAGTTACAGTTTTCATAAACATTTTTTTTTTTTAATTTATGGCTTAATCTTAATTTACCTATAATTATTTTTACAAAATACAATCTTTCTATATTAAAACAGATATATTTTACATAATATTTTATATGTATAGTTTTTAACGTCACATTGTAATGAGTTATATGAATTTTATTTATATTACGCAGTATTCGAATTATGTAATAATTATGCTAATTGAGTCGATTATTTAAATAACCGAAATTTAGGGAATAAAAATTTGTATTTGTTAAACAAAAATGTATCGCTTTTTTAATATATTATTTGAATATGATTTTATTCGAATGTATGTTAGTGATTTGAATATACTGATTGAAACGTATGCATATAATAATAATTATTATGTATTTTTTATTAATTTTTATTTTGTTAGAATTTTTTATTATATTTTATTTCTAAATTTTTTTACAGATGATAACTGCAGATGATGTAATGAATGAAATTTGCATCCCTTACCTGACTAATTGTCATTTTGACAATATACATATTATATTATCACATATACGAAGCATCTTAGAAAAAGGGCTCTGCACAAGCAAAACTAATTATGTATCGTTAATAGTAGTATTAATCAAGAAGGCATCACTACTGAGGAGATCTAATGCAACATTTTCAAAATTCGCAATTTATAAATGGATGATACTTATAAATGACATGTTGAATTATATGAATATTCCGGGTATATTGACAAGCAGTCAATACGATTTAATATACTTAGCCTGCAATTATGTAGAACCGCTTGATATGAAAATTATAGAACCTAAGATGAATACACTGAGTATAATCCAGGAATACGCTAAACGTTGCTTCCCTGTGTACCAACTATTGCGCAAAGATCCACAATGCTATCCCAAATTGCGCAGTTATGCGCAATCTTTCAGTCTTGACCGAGAAGCTTTTATACGTCACGTAATGTTGCACAGCTTCGAGTGGGAGTACATAGAATTTGCATGTGAGTTGACATTCGAATTCTGGCGCGAATTTGGTTGGTCCGACGAGATAATAGCATACGAAAATATAATACGCATAACGGCCGATGTATCACAAATTGTTTTGATACATTTAGACACATTTCCCAAATGCACATTTATAATGTTACTATACGCAATCATAAATTACTGCAAAATTGTGATAGAGAACATGACAAGTGACAAGTACGAAGCAATTTGTTACATCTTGTTCAGCACTCTGTCCTCCATGAATGATGTTGTCAGCAAAACGTGCTATTGTAATATGTACAATATTTGGCTTAAGCGCATCCAAAATATAAACCCAAATATGGAAATAGAAAAATACTTTGATGAAATCTATAAGTGGATTGACAGCATCTTTGAATACGAGATTGAGACAATACCCTTCATAAATCAAGAATGGTGAGTGAATGTCTTCCTTTTTCAAACTTAATGTTTAATAGCAAATGTGTTTGTTATTTTTCTTCTCTATCACTTTCATTTTAATTGAATTTCATTTTCATCATTGTTTATTTTTCGGTTTAAAAAAGGTTTGATATAAAAGTGATGTTTTAGTATTAATTTATTTATATATCAAAAGAATATTTATGCATTTTATTATCTTTTATTATTGATTATTATCTTTTTTATATTTTTTTTTTGCAATTTGCCAAAAGAGACATTCTGACAACTTTAATAAAATTTTATTGAAATATTGAAAAAATATTATATATAAAACGTCAGTTTAAAAAAATGTAAAGGCAATTGTATCTTAAGTTTAAAAAAAAAATTAAAAAAATTTTTCTTAACGTATGTACTATATTAGTGTACTATATTAATTATATATATAATGTTAATATTAATTATAGAATTATTTATATTATAAAGTATCACAAAAATATTATAACAATATGACATATTAGAGTGTTACGAAACAAGATATAATTTCGATAAAAAATTTTTTATCTAAGAACATATACATATAAATACTCGTATATATGTTAATTATATCTATATATTGTATGTTAAATATATCTATATACTTTTTCAGTATTTGTAATGAAACTTTCCACTGCAAATATCACGGTTTTGTAATTAAGAAAAAAATCGCAGCAAAGTACAATGCATTCATGTTCATACGCGAATGCATCAAATTACAGAATAATACAAAGTTTCAATACTACGAGCAATTAATGCGAAATTTATTCTTCTTATAATTTATTTCCGAAGAATAAATTAGCTACTGTAAATATAGGTGACTTGGGACAAGTGTAGGTGACTTGGGACAACATGTATTTTTTGTTAAATTCAATCATGGAATTCATCCATGAGTTTCTAAAGTTTTAAATTTCCTTTAGAAACTCATGGATGGATTGAATTTAACAAAAATACATATTGTCCCAAGTCATCCACATTTACGGTACACTTTTGTTACACTTGTTAAAACATCAAAAAAGTATTTGCATATTCCATCTTTTCTAGAAAAGTAAAACAGTATGATTTTTTTCAGTCTCCTAATCAGAATACACATTTTAATATTTCTTTTATATTGAAATTTAATCAAATATTTTGTTTAAAATTTTTTCTGTTTTTGCTTGAAATCGAAAAAGAATGCAAATACTGTTTTGATCTTTATATAATATCGATAATCGTTTTTTGTATATTTTCTTTTATATTAATAATTTGTATTTTTTTATACAAAAATATATTTTTTATGTAATAATACGAAAACTTCCTTTTTTTAAATATGAATTTTCGAAATTTTCAGGACATTCGATTGACTACGCAAAATCTTTGTAATTATTTTTCTAATTAAATATTAGTTATAATATAGCCTAAAGTATCAAAATAATATATAAATTTAATACCATGAAAGAAAAATATTCGGAAAAATTTTTCTCCTCAATGAATAATATTATAATTGCATTTGTGGGATGCATTTTATAATAACATTCAGTATTTTTACTTACAATTTTCAAAGATATGTAAACATTGTAACATCAATACGTAGTTGTATTTGTTTCAATGCTTTATATTTATTCAACATTTTTTGTTGTGTTGAAATTTTTCTGAATACTTGATTTTTTCGCAAAAAGGAAATCATTGTGCAAATAATTGTCCTAAAAAATTGTAATTTGGATATTGTAGTTGTAATATCTTTCATTGCTTTTTTGTGTATATTAATTTTTATCTACCTTAAAAATATGTTTATTTTTGCGTGTATTAATTGTTTTTCGATATTTTAGTAATAATTTTACACTTTTCGAGATAGATATGTAAGAAAAAAGCAATGAAAAATTGCTTATTTAAATAAAATAAATACATCTTTGTTGACATTCGATGATTTTTCATCGAATTCATTCTAATAAAAAAGATCCGTTTGGATGCAAATTTGATTTTTACTTTGTGTGCTTAACGACATAAAATACATATCACTTTATATACATTTAAATATATATAAAATATATATATATATATATGTGTGTATATATATGTGATATGTATTATTGAACTAATTGAGATTAATAGAATATACATATATATACAAAAAATTAAAAAATATGACAGAATTTTATTTAAAACGTATAGACAAACATTATCTTTATTTGAATCCTTCTTCTCAATTACATACAATAGATGAGAGAGACCTGCGGAGGATCTTCGAGAGTATTACTGTCATCGATTGTTGCCGCACTGAATCTTTAGTTTTCTTTTTTTTTTCAGTCCAGTTTGCGCGCTCCGTTTGCAACACGGTCATTTTAACAAATTTGCAATTGAAGATACAAACAGCAAGGCCTACTGAAATATTGCCCGTTCGTGCACTATCCTTAAGTTGCCATTTGTCTTTAATGTAATTAATTACTTGATTGATGTGATTATTTTTATCATTTTAATCATATAAATCGGCAAGATCTTCATCATCACTATCAGCGTCATTGTCCCCTAATTCATTCAATTCGTCAAAATTTGGCTCGCTATCGCCCGAGCCGCTTAGACCACCCATCTGTCGCATCATCTCTTCTAAATCTGGCGGGTTACTTTCTTCGTCAGTATCGTCTTCATCCTTCCATTTGTTAAAATCGCTCTTTAACCAGTGAGCCTTTGTTTTGTCTTTAATTAATCGTGGCCAATATGGTCCCTCTTCTTTCTTAGCAAGAACCAACTCAAAAGTTCTGCCCTTCATATTTTTTATGGTTTTATTGGGCTCAATTTCTTTGTACAGATTAATTGTAATTTTATGAATTTTTTTAATCTGTACCTCCCTCTCCTTTGAAGTATATCTTTTCTGGTTCAATTTCAATAACAAGATCTTTACAATCTTCTAAGCAGATAGAGAATCAAACTGAATAATGTATAATGATTTTTGTTACAACTTATTCGGATATGATGTAACTTAATACGATTTTGATCAAGCAAAAAAAAATTGAGGGGATAGGCGAAATAAAGGCCTACAAAATCTTGATATTAATAAAAATTAAAATAACTATGCTATTTTTTTATACACAAATGAATATAAATCAAATGAATTTATGTTATGTCTTTAAGAAGATATGTTACAATATTTCTCTATTACGATTAATATTACATGAAAAAGTTAATTGCCGAAAAAAGGACCTAAATAGTTGTGCCTTTATTCCGCTTTTATTTCTTCAATTATATTATTTACCGTTAGTACAATTATTCGCATAATTGATTGGACATTTTAAAAAAATTGTATATATAACCAAGCTATCGCATTTCTTTTTAAGAATGGATTTTTTGAAATTCTAAGAACGAACGAAATCCTAATGCGAAAATATAGAAAATATACAATAATTTTTAAATTAGTAGCGATTAAAGTTTTCGAATCACATTTTTAATTTATTTTGGCGCATATCGTACAGAGTACTATCGCGCTATTAAATTGACATTTTGTGATATATTTCAATATTAATTATGCGTATGTAATGTATAAATAAATTCTGTAAAAGCAGGAACAATTTTTAAGTAAGAATATCATTACATATTTGTATAATAATCTTGATGTTGCTAAAAAGGTCTTTTATGATAATATCTTTTTCATGGCACACTTGAGCACGCGAAATATCAGTTTTATGAAGAATTATAATTGCTATTAATTTAAAAATTATTATAATCTCGACATTTTCGTAATAGAATTTTCATCTTGGAATATTCCAAATAGTCTTAAAACTCTTAAAAGGAAATTCTCTCAGTGATTTAGAGACATCGTATATATTGGGTCATCTGGTGTTGATGGTCAACACCATTTAGTGACAAAAAACCGCGAATACTTTTTAGATGATCCAATAATATATGTAAATGAACAATTAAAATTATACAATGTAAAATTATACGTGCGATATAATACAATGTAAAATATTATACAATGTAAAATATATATATTATATGCGATATAATAAATTAGTTTATAAAATAAAGTCTGTAACATCTTATTCGGAATCACGTTGTAATTTCAGTAGTATATATAGTAGCATAAATAATAATTTTACGTTTCTAAAATATCAAAATGTTGAAGGGTTATAATGATTTTTAAATTATAAGCATTTAAAATTATCAAATTATATTGTTAAAGTTCGCTTTTAGATATAATACAACGCAAAATCCAACCATATTTAAGCATGTGAACTTTATACGATATAATTCGGTAACTTTGTTTATAATTCAAAAACTAATTTAGCCTTGATATTTTGACTTCAAAAGAATTTTTTCAAAATAATTTAGAAATCAATCCTTAAGTGTTGAAGTACGATCTTTACTGGACACCCAGTATATATAAATATATGTGTGTATGTATGTGTATATGTGTGTATGATAAAATTTAATAAAATTTAAAAATTACGTCTATTTCGTTCTTATATTCTGCACAAAGAGAGAGTAGATAAAAATTTGACGAACTGTCTGATACTTTCGAATTATTACAAGTAAGAAGGAATGAAATATATTTTAACGTTTTACTTTATTATTATCCGACTGTGATTCAACATTAAATGGAACTACAAATCGCTCTCAAAGTCAACTGCATGTCGACCGCACATGTTTTCAAAATACTTAACACAGTCGAACTCGAGACTGACAGATATCATCGACTCGGGTAAATTCGATCGTCCAAAAATTTTAAAAATTGGTGTGTATTTTGTCTTAAAATGTTCAACAACAGTCGCTGCAAACAATTTATCCAAGATTAATCAGCAACACGAATTGTGACGATTACTCGTGAAATTTCAATCATTGATCGCTGCTGTACATACGTGTACGAACTTCGTGTATCATAGCTTCGTTCAAACAACAATAAAATCGACGATACTCCAATCGATGGTGATGAAGATCGGACTTCTGCGTTTTAATTTTAACTAGACGTAAGGAATTCAATAATTATTAGTTTATAAGATTTTTAGTGATAAGAAATTGTGTAAAAGATATAGAGAATTATTTGTGACGATGAAAATAAATGTTGAATAAGAAAGAAAAAATTTTAAATTTCAATGAGAAATCTTGGTGAGAGAGAGAGAAAGAGAGAGAGAGAGAGAGAGAGAGAGAGAGAGAGAGAGAGAAAGCTGAAAGTTTTGTGCTTTATAATGGAAATCATATAAGATAACGAAAATATTAGATGTAGTAAAAAGAAATCCATTATTTTTACTACATCTAATATAATGGAATGTTTTAAATTTGTATTAAGCAGTTCTCAACGAAAAGAGGCTTCAAGGCATGTAACAGCAATTTTAAGATAAAATTTATAGATCACATTATGTAAACTTATTATATTATCTATTTATCACCATTTAAATATTCTTTAGCGAGAGAAAGAAGATGTTTTAGCTTTTCTGGCAAATAATTATAATAATAATTTAATTACAATAATAATAATTATGTAGATAATTGTATTAATTTACATTAACAATTTATAATTATAAAAATTATATATTTATAATAGAAAGCAAAAATATTATATTTTGATGTGGAAAATCAGAGATTGAAAGGTATTTAGATTCTTCCTCTCTTCTCGTTTTTAATGAAAGAATGTTATTTATTTCACATGAGCATTAAAAAATACATTAATGAAAGTACTTCCCATCACTTGTAAAACGCTACGAATTAATTCCAACACCTAATATATATATTATATAATATTTAAAATATATTTTATATATATATGTACACACACACATACAACGCGACATTAAGATCTTGATTTTTACTTTTTAAATAATTTTCTCAGGTTTTTGGTCAAGATGAATCAAACTTTCTATCTTAATCTGCACACTATTGAGGACATGAAAACTCTCTTATTACGGCTACAACAACAACATGGCCAATTGAAACTTCTCTCGTGTCGAGCTTCGATTGAGAACATACGTTCTATCGATGAAATATCAAAAATGATTGGTTACTATCTGAAAGACCGATTAGGGATGTATGATATTAAAATATTTATTGCAGACAATGAGTTCAACACAAAATATAACTTTTCGCCAATATTTATAACGTGTTATAAATATTTACTATTGAATACGAATTTTTCCTCACAAAATTTTTTCAAAAAAGACATGAGATTTGGCCACGTAATTGGTTTATGGCCTACTCTATCACCTTGTCTCTTCATACAGGTGATTTATCAATAACAATTATATATTATCATACGCAATGTAAGAGTAAGAGGATATTCGAAGTATTATATTAATTTTCTTGCCTTTTTTATATCTATGACATATCACATAGCACAATAATAAAATAACAAAAAAGAGATCTCTTTCATTTTACTATTTAAATTCATATAGTTTTAGAGATAATAATAATGTGGTTCTTTGTTTTTCTTGAATAATCTTTATTTAAAATATTAAGTATCGATGCAAAAGATTAACGCCACAATAAAAAAGCTTGTTTCTATAGCGTTAAGAGAAAAATATTATCAACTAATAAAGAAGTAAAACAGTTATCATTTAATTATTTTATATACATATATGTGTGCGCATATATGTATAGTGATTAGTATACATACGCGCGCGCGTGTACAGTGAAATTATATTCTTCATTCAGAAAAAAGTTTCTTCGACTAAAAAAAAGTTTGTTTGAGTCAAAAAAATTTGTGCATTGCTATATGATTAAAAAAAGTTTCTTTGATTTGAAAATCTTTTTTTAAATCAAGTAAATTTTTATTTTTCTCAAAGGTATTATTTTCACTTTAATTTAAAAAAAAATCAACAAAAACAATTTCTTTAATTTAAATATAACTTTTTTCTATGAATTAAATAAATATTTCATATTATCTATTTTTAACATAGTTTAATTATATAATATCTACAGATACTATGGTACTCGCGGTGCGAGGATTTGCTGATTGAATCGCTCGTGCACATACCATTGGATTTATGCATGGAGATCTTACAAATAGCGATTGAACATATAACTCAATTGACACTCTTACGAGCCAGACGCCTTATACTCCTTCTAATCTACAAAATATACTATAAATGCCTGTGGTTGCATTTAGGCACTATATCAATAGGAAATATGAAGAAATACATTGACCAATTAATAACGTATTTTGAACTATTGTTAAATTTGCTTGTCCCTAAGTTTATCAATTCTCATAATTTATTTAATGGAAACAAATACGTACAACACGGTATTTTAGTGAAGAATATACTTCAGTGCATGAAAAAGTGCATAAGTAGCAAAATTAAAAATTATTTGGAAAACTATAATCGAGCAATGCTATTCAGACTCACTTACGGCAATTTCAATGAACATACGAATTATTACCAAATACTTTGTCCAAACGAGGTAAAATCCATTATAATAACATTAGACGAGAAATTGATCACTCTACTTTTGAATCAAATCAAGTATGTTGATTCTTTCGAGTGTGTAGCCTGGAAAAACATCGTTGATGATGAGAACACTATGATCCCACTACATCGTGCTATCATCATTGAATGTCATTATCTTAACGAACTTATAAAACAGAATAATTTTTTAATGAAAAATGAACAATTATTCCTTTGCCTGAAACAACTTATAGGACCAATGAAATCCGAGGAATCTATTTTAACTCTTCAAGAACTTTGTCATGACATCACCAAGGGCAAGCTGCACGGTATAAAGGAACTGATTAAACGCTATAAAGAGTGGGACCTGTATACATTAGATTTTATCAAACAGAGAGTACAATTTTTGAATCATAATGATTTTTATATCATACTCGAATATCTCTATTATAAATTCGCATATTTGCATACTAAAACAGAAAAATACCGGGTATATGTATCGGTATTAAAAATATTGCTCCATCTAAAAGAGCATGATTTGCACAGCATCATATTACAATACATAGAACGACATTTTGACGACAATTGCCTAGAATGTCTGTATAATGAAAAGTCCTTTGACACATTCTTACGACAAAATTTATTTGTTGAAGAATTCAATAATTCGCGATCAATGATGAATACTATTTCTGAGACATGCCTCTTGATCTTCATTCTATTAAACCCAAAGGATGTATTAAGCAAGTTAATGTTGTATGAAATGAATGTTGAATCATCCGATAGCATTTTATCCCAAAACAACAAGTTTGCAGTTTTTATTCGTGACTATTATAACTTAAAAAAAGACCAATCAAACGTGATGATGTACATTCTGAAAAATATAGTTTTACAGCAACGCATGGCATGGCATATAAATTCAAAGGCGTTTATAAGTAAATTATTGGATTATCAGGTGATACACAATGTTGTAAATGTCACATTTGATGTTTGGATGTAATTCTATAATTTTTTAAATTATATTTTAATCGTAATAATATTTATAAAATCTACAATATTTTTAATTATTTATGTTATTACAAAGGAAGACCAAATAGATCATTTAAATATTTTAAAGAAAATAAATTTTTTGAAAGAATTAATTAAATTATACAATAAAAATTATACAATATATTATATGATAAAAAAAATCTAAAATATTTTTGTATACATTATATTTTTCTCTTATAAAATTACGGAAAGTTACACGAGGAATTTTTTTTGTAACTTTATTCATATTCATTATTTTTAAGACATCTTTTAAATTAATCTTTTAATATTAAAACAGATATTTAATTTAACATTTTATGTATGTATACATTTAGTAAACAAGAATGTATCATTTTTTTTAAGTATTATTTGAATATAATTTTGATCAATTTTTTTTGTACTGTTAAACGCTAATTAAAACATACATGGTACAATAGTAATTTGTATTCTTTTTTACGAATTATCATTTTATTAAAATTTCTTTTTAATATTTTATTTTTAAATTTTTCACAGATGGTAACTGTAGATGATGTAATACACGAACTTTATATCCCTTATCTGAAAAGTAGCTATTTTGAAGAGACCACCACACGTAATATATTATTACATATACAAAACATCGTGGCAAGAAAGCTCTTTACATATAGAACTAATTTTACACACTTAATAATAATATTAATTAAGAAGACATCACTGCTAAGGAAATTTAATGCAATTTTTTCAAAATTCATATTATACAAACTTGGTATAAAACTTATAAATAACATAATCAATGATCTATTATACACGAATCTATCATTGCCAAATATAGATTACAAGACAATACGCTTAAATAGCTATCATGTAGAACCACTCGATATCAAAAAAACGCAACCTACGATGAATACGATGGACATAATACAGGAATACGAGAGACGTTGCCTCTTTATGCATCAACGATTGCGCACAGATCCACGAGTTAATCCTAAATTGCGCAGTTTTGTGCAGTCTTTTAAGCTTAATCGAGAGGCTTTTATACGTCACATAATGTTGCATTGCTACGAGAAGGAGTACATAATACTTGCAAACGAATTGACATTCATGTTCTGGAATAAATTTGGTTGGGTCGACGAGATGATGGCATACGAAAACATAATACGTATCACTGCTGATGTATCGCAAGTCGCTTTGATGTATTTAGATACATTTCCCAAGCACACTTTTATAATGCTGCTATACGCAATCGTAAAGTTTTCTAAAAATGTTATAAAGAACATGACAAGCGACAAACACAAAACGATTTGCTATAACCTGCTGAGGACTCTATCTTCTATAAATACTGTTGTCAGTGAAACGTACTATGGAAAAATGTACGATCTTTGGCTTAAGCGTATTCACAATATAGATTCACATTTGGAAGCAGAAATATATTTTGATGAGATTCACAAATGGATGTATAGCATTTTTGAATACAAATTTGAGACAATGCCTCTTGTACACAAAAAATGGTACGTATGTTTTCTTTTCTTCCAAACTTAATTGTTAATTACAAAAAATTTTTTTCCTCTTTTCTATTCTTTTATTTTATTTGAATTCCATCATTGTTCTTCTTCGATTAAAAAGATTGATATAGTGACATTTTAATACTTATGTATTATCAAAAGTATTTAGACATTAAAGTAATACGTTTCTGAGTAATTCTCTATAATGTTTGAATTCGTAAAAAACTGTAATTATTTTTTTTTTACATTAAATGACATCACTTTTTGTGTTTTTAACGTACAATTTGCCAGAAAAAAACACTCTAACAACTTCAATAAAATTTTATTGAAACGTTGAGAGAATATTATATTATATGCAAAACGTTATTATATTATTTTAAAAAATATGATAAAATTTAATTCCTAAGTTTAAAAAGAAATTAAAAATGTTTTTAATATTATAATGGAATCAATTATTTTATAGTATGTACTACATTAATTATATATATATAACTTAACATTAAATATACAATTATTTATATTATAAAAATCTATATAAAATATTATCGTAGAAGGAGAAAAACAAAAATATTTCTATATTTTTATTTATTATAAAAATATTATAGAAATATAACATATTAGAACGTTATAAACTTAAAAAGATATAATTTTGATAAAAAAATTTTCATAGAATAGCTGTATATAAATATACAGAATGTCCTCGCATATAAGTGACCATCCTTTTTTAAAAAACTAACAGAGACCTAATAAATATAATATCAAATTAAACATAATTTCTAACTAAACACTATTGTGAGTATATTTAGATCTTTCTGTTACGGCCTTGCGATGTGATCAACTTCTGACTCTTACATATTAATCAGATGACAACATGTTAATACATGAATCATATTATATTTATTAGGTCTAATCTCTGTTTACAAAAAGAAAAAGAGTTGCCACTTATATGAAAATTCTATATAAAATTGCATACTAAATATATCTATGTATGTTTTCTTTCAGTAATTGTAATGAAAATTTCTACTGTAAATATCACGCTTTATTAATTAAAAAAGAAATTACAACAAAGTACAATGCGTATATATTCGTATGCGAATGCATCAAGTTACACAGTAATACAAATATTCAATATGCCGAGCGATTACTGCAGAATTTATGCCTGGAAAAGTAGGTTAGTTATTCTTTTGTTATACGATTATGTTTGTTAAAGCATGGAAAAGTTATTTGCATTCTCTTTCAGGACAGAGTAGAATTTTATTATTTTTTAACAATGTTCAAATATCAGAATACGTATTTTTTTTTCTATATTATTGATACATTTTATAAAACATTTTGTTCATAACGATATTTTCTGTTTTTGCACGAAATTGAAAAAAAAATAGATATGCATTGAGTGTTGCACAAATATTTCTTTTTGGTCATTAATAATAATTGTCACTTTTCTAACTATCTTCTATATTGATTATTTCGTATTTTTAATTAGTTATTCACAAAATTACGTGTTATTGATCATTTTTAAAATTCCTTAAAAATTTTTTTAGTAGATAAGAACAAGTAGATAAGAATATAAAAATAAATTTTTTCTATATAATACACAGAAACTATCTTTTTTTAATATCTTTCTCCAAAAGGACCTCACATTAAATTAAGCTAGGTTTGTATCATTGTTTATACTTTAAGAAGGGGTTTAAAAATATAAAAGGTTGAAAAAATGCCATGTTGAGATATTTTAAATCCGCAAGTGGATGCTGTTTTATAATCATTTGTATCCGATTGTACCACAATCGGTTCCATTTATACGGTTCCTCTTAAAGGGGTAAATATGCATAATATATGAAATTTTAAAAAATGGAATGAGAATTAACTTCACCATTTTTGAAAATATTTTAATTTCGATAGAATCACTCTTGTTTAAAATATTTCAAAGTGTTGTGTTAGCATTTTTTTTCAACTCTTTATATTTTTGAATTCCTTAAGGTACTAACGAAAAGGAAAGTGATACAAATGGATACGAACCTAATTTAATACGTATTAAAAAAATTTTTTTCTTAAGTCGAGTGGCAGGTTCACATAAGTCATTTGACCGACTTCGTGAGATCTCTCTGTAATTGTTTATCTAATTAAATTTAGTTAGAGTATATATACATATATATATATATATATATTTATTCTAAAATATCGAAATAGCATCGAAGTAGTAGTATGAATCTAATGCTGTATAAGAAATGAAGAAAATATTCGGAAGAATTTTTCTCTCCAATTCAATGAATAGTATTGTAACTATATTTGCGCAATATAATAACATTGAGCATCTTTATTTACAATTTTCTAAAGGTATTTGCAACAAACGTTACAACATCAATGCATATAATTTTGTATCTATTCAGTCTATCTATTATATATATATCTATTATATAATATCTATTGTTTTATATTTATTCGACATTTTTGTATTGTTTAAAAATATATAATTTATCTACAAGAAAAACATTATTGTGCAAATAATTCTTCTGAAAACTGACATTTGGATACTACAGTTGTAATATTTTTCATTGCTCTCTTGCCGTTACATTAATTTTTATTTATCCTAAATAATAGGATATCTTTAAAGTCTATTCCCACTCCTTTTTATATTTTGGTACAATTTAAAATTATAAAAAACCGCGAAATACATGATCATTTCGATTATTTATATAATGCAGCTCTTCGAAATGATCAAACACATAAATCGCGGTTTTTCATCAATTTTAACCATTTTCAAAATACAGGAGTAATAAATTGTATAGACACACTATATTAATAATTGTATATTAATAATTGTTTATTGATATATAAATAATAATTTTACACTTTTTGAGGTATGACAGATGTGTAAAATAAGAAGAAGCAATGAAAAAATGTTCAATTATGCAAATTAAATATAATACACTATAGTCAACATTCGATGATTTTCCACTACCGTAGAGACACTGCATGCAAATTTGACTTTCACTTTAACAAATATGTACGTATAAATATTTGTAAAAAATATGTATGTATATATATATATATGTGACATGTATTATTAAATGATTGTGATTAATAAAATATACATACTTGCAGAAATTAAAAATAAAATACAAAAAAATTTCATTTTAAACATGTTTCCTCAAACTTTTTTTCTTAATTATATGTTTAAATTTTATCATCATGTAAAAATCGAATTATGATATTAATTCCCTAATTAATTTTTAAATAAAAATTTCATATTTTAAATTTCATATTTTATAACGGGGATATTATGATGTAAATTAAAAGTAACTAAAAATGATTTTTTAAAATAAAAAATAATTTTAATTTTAATACTTTTGTTCTGAAAATTAGGCTTCATGAAAAGAAATAGATTGAGTTCCTTCTAAATATTAAATGTAGAAGAAAATCTCCGCATCACAATAATGGAAAGAATATCATAAAAAAGACAATTGATATAATGTAAGGAGTAAATCATTTTTATAATTTAACAAAAAAATCTTTCTAGAGCATAGATCGTTTAATATATTTGTTTATTATAAAGATACCATTTCAGATTCGACAACCTGCGAGTGATTTCCTTTTTGGATTGAGAAGGAATACGTTAAAATAATTGTTTGATTGTTGAGAATAATTCTGAAGAGAGTCGAGTTTGGTGTTATCTTGCTCTTGTATTAAAGCAATAGTAACATTTTTTTACATTATTTTTTGCACACTGTTCTCATTAACTTGTACCATATTGCATTCTCATTAGCTCGTGTTTTTCTTTAACATTAAGACAATCTACAGTTATAATTGATATCGAAATAATGCAAAATACATTTATGTATTTCTATTCACAATTATGTAACTTCATATATCATCAGGAGATATACATAAAAGTGATAAAATTTAACAAAATCTAGAAATTATATCTATTTCCACACATGATTGAAAAATGTCATATTTAATCAAGGCGATGTCTAATAATATTTCTTGTGAATTTATACAATTGTTAGTTCAAGCAAACTAGTAGACCGATTAATTAATTGGTTTTGAAACATAGTTCTAAACTGAAGCTGGAGCAGTTATATCACATATTAAATTGATAAGCAATTGAATATTATTGCTCTAAATGATTTGATGCTATCAAGCATCTTAAAAACTATGAATAATTTATTGCGATAAATATTATTTCAACTTGGATTTCTTATTCCGGATCTCCTTACTATTCGAACTTTTGTTTAAGACTGTGATTCAAGACCTACAAATAATGGACGTATAATTTACTTGAATTGAAAATTATAAATTTACATGAAAAATTAGGCACGAAGAGAACTACTAAAATAGTATTTTTCACTCGTGTGTTTAATCAGTCGATTTTTAATTAATATTTCTATTATTACGTTCTCATACATATTTATCGCAGAAAATAAATAAAAGATTTATTACTGCTGTCCAGTACGTTCAAATTATTGCGAGTGAGAAGAAGTAAAATATATTTCAACGTTCAGCTATTACGTTAGCAGACTGATTCAACATTAGTTGTATTCAGCAGATTCAACTGTTGCGGAGCAGATCTATGAGCGCTAGCTGCTATTGTATTCTTTTAGATCATCCAATAGCAACTCACGAATCCGCTCTGCAACAGTTGAATCAGCCGACCAATAATGCCCATTTTTAACAATGCAGTTTAATTTTAATCTCGGTTCAACTCTAACTCTTTATCTTTTTTTAGTTCTAAGAATTAAAAAAAGATAAAAACTAAGTCGAACCAAGATTAAAGTTAATTTACATTGAAACAGGTATAAATAGAATTACAAATCGCTCTCAAAGTCAATTATATGTTAATCACATTGTGTGATTCTACATATATTATTATATGATAATATGACGGCAATACGAATCTTGATGATAATAATTGTAAAATTGACGACAAATTACTGGCAAGTTGCTACCTAAAAAATAAACATCATTATGAAAATATCAAGTTCCTAACAAATATGGAATCAATTGTTGCAATTCTAGTAGCAATAGTTAGCAGTACATACTCAGGAAGCAACATGTCAGCAACAATACAGACAGTCGTTAGCTAGGATTTTATAATTTTTTAGAAAATTTCTCATGTTTTCTAAGTATTGGGTTGAAGGAAAAGTTTTGCAGATTCTTTAATAGATAACACTAGTGTTAAAAAATAAATATTATGTATCATTCAATTGCCGCACATATAACAGAATACTTTCTAGAAACGGAATAAATCTAATCTAGATAAAGTGTAATTATTTAATTTATACCGATTTTATTGCCCTTTAAATATGTTGTAGATGAGTGCTCTGAGTAATTTCTTACGAAAATTAAATGAGAGATGGTCCTGTTTTAAAAGGTATAACAAATTAAAGTCTTACAATAAGACTTGCATAGCTTATTTTAATTTTAATTTAGAATTTTCTACGCGAAGCGAGGTTCTCCTTCCTTACCCAGCAAACACAAAATTACATGCTGGGTACTTATGGGATAAAACAAAGTCTATAATTGTACGGCTCCACAAGGATTTTTGATTTTCTTCTTGTCAACTTTCAGTCTTTAATAATTCATAATTTCTTAACAAATTACCATCGATGATTGAAGTTTTGTGAAGATCATTCAGAGTCAGGACTTTGACATCATACGTCAAGATTAAAGTCATCAAAACTGAATCTGTTGTTCTCAATATTTACCAAAATTATCGGCAATTCATGAAATCTTAATTTATTATACCTCTTAAGCAAATGCTCTCACTTAATTTTTGTAAGGAATTTCTCACATTCTCTCCTACAACATATCTAAAAAAGAATAAAATCTATGAAGTGTAACCTAAACTGTACATTTATCTACATTTTTTTAAGACTTTCATATATATATAGAATCTTATCAGCGGCGCGACTAATACGCAATCTGTCTTTTATCGGCCTTATTTGCAAGCGACTCTGCCAAATTATGATGAGTCATTACCGTCATCATCGACGAAGCGCGCACCACGATTCGAGCCTTGCTATCACTCCACAATCGCTTTGATAAGGTTTTTTTGACGTGAAATATGCTCGAGACAAATATGTGTAATGCGTTACAAGAACCTAACTTATACTTATTCTTAGAATAGATCGTAGAAAAATATTTGAAAAAAATCGAAAAATTTCGATAGTAACTTTATTACCAAGAAACATTAAATATATTTTAGAATCTGAAAAGATTTGATTAATAATCATCTCTTTTAATATTTGCTTAAAGAAAAATCC